AGAGAGAGAGAGAGAGAGAGAGAGAGAGAGAGAGAGAGAGAGAGAGAGAGAGAGAGAGAGAGAGAGAGAAAGAGAGGTTGGGGGAGGTTGACTTAGCACCTTTTTCTTTAATTTAGCACATTAAGAACTGTTGATTCTCAATATTATTTGAGTGCCAACGACCTAAACGGGGAAAAATGAAAGCCTCTGAGGAAAATGACTTGTCCTGTCCACCTCGTTGCGCTGTCAGTCCCTCCTGCTGCCCCATTTTCACTCCAAATGTGGGCCAACGCTGTGTGCAGCATGTAGTGTGCGAACTCTATGCGAATTTTGATCCAGAACTTCTTTTTCTCTTTTCTTTGATAGAATCATCTTTGTGGAAGACCACTTTGCGCGTTTGAGATTGTGCTTGTAATCGTTGCCTTAAACCATCAGTACCTCCGAGGCACTTTTCTCGGGGGTTGGAAACGCCCTGCGCGCTGACAAAAAGATGAAGTGGCACGGCCTTCTTTTGGCTGGCCCCGCCAGCCATTTTGCTCCAGAGGCTGAGGCCCAAAAGTTGCAGTTGCTGCAACTTTGAAAAAAAACATACTGGCGGTACAGGGCATGAAGAATCTAAAGATTCTTACCCCTCGACAAATCCTTCTGGGTTCCTACAGGCAACTTCTTTTGTGAAAAGAATTCTGCTTGTTTTGCTTGATGCTTTTTTCTCTCTGTCAATTGCAGATGGTTTCGATTGGAGGAGATAAGCGAAGGGGAGTTCCATCCAGCTCTTCAATTGATGGTGAGGTGTGTAAAATGGAAAACTCTCACCCTCATAAAAGGTCTAAGACTTGCTTTTTCTTGCTTGACTTATCACTGCCACTATCTTGGAACTTATGGAAAAGGTTCATGATTCGTGAACGAATAGAAGAACTTCAACCCACCAGTGCCACCATTATGTGTCCCCCTTGGCCGCGGATCTTGCGGCTGAGGCCGCGGCCGAGTTTGCTCGTGGCCGCGCCAGGGCCAGGGGGGGGCGCGCACGGAAAAACGGTGCGCGCGCGGTGCCTGCGCACATTGGCCGCTGTAGCCCTGTGCAGAAAAAAAAAAGTAAAAATTTGGGGGGGTGGATTTTTTTTTTCTTCTTTTTTTTTAACACAAAACTCTCCATCTTTATAAAATCAGACCAAGAGGCCGGGGACCTCACAATTCAACCCGGAGTACTGACAGCATCAGCCAGCTTAGCTTACAGGCATTTGCCTGCGGAATCCAGCGCTCTGGAGTTCCATGTTACAAAACTAATTACCTTCGTACCTGAACTTGATCATGAGTAGGACTTGACTTGACATTCCATTTTAATTAAAGTAGGACTCACTTAAACCTGCGACGGTTGTAACCAGAACACTTAACTATCGTCGGCTAACTAGCTACCGTTGAAGCTAGCCTGCTCTAGCCTAAAACTGATACTAACACGGCTCAGAGGAAATCACAGTTCCGGTTCCTACCGACCCTCTCCTAACGGCCCACGGGGGCCCTAAGGAACCAAGTGTCCTGGTTCTTGGCTGGTCACTCCAGCTAATCTAGACTTCCTTGTGGGACCGAGTGCCCTGGTCTCCGCAGGGGCTCTCTAATTTACCGGATTGTCTAAGTCCCTAATACACTAACCCTCGTTCCCCAAGATCCATTTGGAGATCACTGACCCTCGGTCTGGATGGACTGCAGATAGCCGGTTCTGACGAGCCCAGGTACGGAGGAACCAAGATTTCTGTTTCCTGCTGCCCTTCCATGCCCGGGCTTTTCTTTGCCACTCTGATGGCGTGCTTGAGGCCCACTTTGATTCTTCTCTTGATCTCTGCATCTGACAAGGGGCGTTTCTCAAATCTTGCCCTGTTTCTGTCTGCCCAGATGCTCTCACAGATGATGCCTCTTGTCTCTTGGGCGACGTACCCCCATCCTCTCTTTCCATTCCAGTCTGTGGGCAGGAAGCCCAGCAGGACCCAGTGCTCGTTCCATTCTAACCGTGCCTCCCCCATTTCCTTCCAGTGAAGTTCTCACCATTTCCAAACGCATTTTGATGCCGGGGACGCCGTGTGGACTCAAATGGCCACCTGCATCTTGAACAGCCTAGTTCTACTGTTACCCCTCGGCTCTGCAGCCAGACTGTGGATGGTGTCGCTAACAGGGATATCAGCCAAAGGATGCTCACTTGCTTACCATTCGGAAGGAGCTCCAGCTCACTCCACAACCTTTCAAAGTTGGACTCTGTTGGTGTGGCAGTTTCACCCAACACCTTGGACCACCTTGATACAACAGCAGAGGCTGGTGACCTGGCAGATCTATTCGCTAATGCATAACCTTCCCCTGTGTTGTACTCAGACAGGAATAACGGACCAGCCGTTTCACCATTGGAGCCTGGCCTACTCCAACTCCATGCTAGAGGATCTATTTGCAGTTGTCTGAGAGGGGATCGGCCGATCCAGATCAACGACTCCGTGCGGCTACCTGGTTCCTTTCGTTCCACAATCCGGGCCTGTGTGGGTTACTCCAACGTTGGACTACCTCTTTTCCCAGGAGCACCAGCCTGTTTCCTTCCCCCTCACATTGCCAACTTTCAACCATTCTGAACCCGCTGGCAAGAATCTCTGTTGTCTTCCAAACGACTTCTCCCCTTTCCTGGTCCTCTGCCACATACCACGTGCCTATTGGGTCCACCCCTTCCGGGCCAAGGATGTTTTTCCAGTCCTGAGGTATGGCCTCGAGTAGTGCGAGCCAATTCTCCTCTACTCGCCTGAGTCCTTGCAGCCGGGTTTTAACTTCTGACAGCGGTTCCCAGTTACCAAGCAAAGAAGACCACAGATCCCTTATCCTTGATACTCCCTTTTTCATCCAGGCGAGACCGAAGGTGGCCGCTGAACCATTTGCAGGAAAGGCTTGCCCTCCCGGGTTGCAGATGGCGGGGTTCTCGAATAAGTGTTGGGCCAGCACCTCTTCTTTCGTGCTCGGGGGTGTTGGCGTATCCGGAGGAAGGCTTTCCAGGCTCTCATAATTGACTTCTAGAACAACGCAACGATTTCGGTCTTTTCTTCTTGAATGAGTCCATAAAGAAATAGACCCAGACATCTTCGGGTCTGCTGAGTTCCCATTCTCTCATCAGCAACCTTTCTGCCAGGAGGATCCAGTCTTCTTTGGATTCCGCTGTTGCCACCTTAACCACCCAGGTTCTCAACTGCGCCTGGTTCTTCCGTGCCGGGTCCCAGAGGCCCTGTGCCGGACCCGCCGGGATGGCGGTCCGACAGGGTGGAGAAGAAGGGTGGACGAAGGAGGAGGTAGAGATGGAGTTGGAAGGGACAGCGCAGCTCCGACGCAGACTCCACACGCACGTACTCCAAGATCTGCAAAAGTGAAGAATACCGAAAAACAAACAACTGCTGGGGTATACCCCCAGCGGACTGACTGACTGGACTGGACTGGCCTGGTACTGACAGTGGTACCGGGCAGGACTAGAACAACACACGGCCTGTGGGGTCAGGCCATGACTTGGCCCCACAGGCCGAACTGGGCAAATAGCCAAATAGGCCCTGGCTGTAGGCCAGGGCAGATGAAGGCCCGCTACATGATCCTTAGACCTGTAATGGATCGCAAGAGCCATAAACACGCTATCCGCAAAAGCAGCGGAACTCTGCAGTAAAGAAAGCTGAGAAATCTAGGATGCGGAGTCCATGCGATGCATCCTAAGCTACATAATGTCAAAAGAAAAGCAAATGTCAGGTATACATATCCTAGCTAACAGCAGAAAATGAAATGTAGTATGATACAATCCTAAAGTCCTGGAGGCAGTGGCCTCAGTGCTCAAAGGAAAAGAGCAATATGTCACAAGATAATGTCATGTCGCTGAACCACTAAGAGTGGGATGGTCTCAGAGGGGGTGAATGCAGCCTAAGAATCGAAACTCCTAAGGGCAGTCACACATGAAGGTTGGATAGGTCATCAGGCTCAAGRTGGGAGAGTGGTAGCGAAACAAAACCAACGACCCTAACAGATAGACCATCAAGGCGGGTAATGCTCCACAAAAGGGTGACACCATGCAGGGTCGACCATGAAAAGGGGAGCTTAGAATAGGGTGGAGCTATGTCGAACTGGAGGCATGCAATAGCCGGCGCTAGGGTGATGAGGGCAGTGGGTGAGGGAAACATGCACATAACTCACCGACTGGGAGAGGGAGCTAGATCTGGGAGCAAGGAAGCCAAGATAACGCTACGGTCCTAATGCCTATGCGATACCAAGGGAGAGTCAAACTCAAAGAGACCCAGCTAACCATCATGCGACAGAGGCAAGGGAGTATACAGGGTAGGGTGGTGACGTGAAGTAGTCACGTCCAAAGTAGCTGAAGTCGTCGAAGTGGTCGATGACGTCGATGAAGCAGCAGTGGAGTACCTGATGGTGTGAGTCAGTGGGGAAAGATAGAGGATAAGAGTGTTAGTCATCGTAACGCGAAGGGCGACGATGAGTGCGCTGTGGACGCTCGGAGGCGACCGTCTGCGGCTGAGGAACGGCCTAAGAGGGAGCGGGCTTGTCCTCAGCAATCTCCTCAGCCGGAGGAGGAGGAAGAGGGTCAGTCGGCTGAGTAGAAGCAGATGTCTCAGCACGACAAGCACGATCATATGCTTGCACCAACATCTTGGCGTGCTGCAAGTGCTCGAGGGGCTCCCAAGTAGCCTCCTCATCAGGGTAGCCCTTCCAACGCACAAGGTACTCGATGCGTGGAGGGGTATCGTCGATAACTCGGCGTGATACGATGTCGGAAACAGCGAACTCCTCGTGACCGTCCACCATGATAGGTGGAGGGCGCTCATAAGGGCGTCCGGCGAAGCGCTCGGACGGTCTGCGATAAGGACGCAGCAAGGAGACGTGGTAAACATCGTGTACATGAGCCTGTCGAAGGTAATCAGGTAGCTTCACACGGAAGCTGACCGGACTATCGGCAGTATCAGAACCGACGGCCTGAAGGATGCGGCATGGACCGAAGAAACGACGCTTGAACTTGCGAAGCGTATCTGCTTCGAGCTGTAAGTGGCGTACGTCGACGAGCACATCATCACCGACTTTGAATGGATGATCCATTCGTGATCGGTTCGCTTGTGCGGCCATGCGAGTCTGGGAGTCGGCTAAACTCTCGTGTGTGCGCTTCATAATCGTCGCCATGTGGGCGATCTAGTCGTCAAGCGCAGGGCAGCGAGTGTCTGGGCGCAACCGCGAAGGTCATAGGAAATCCGCGGGTACGCGAGGGTGGTAGCCGAGGTCGCAATAGAATGGCGACATCCCCGTGGCTGGTGAAACAGCGTGGTTGTACGCAATCTCCGCGTGGGCTAAGTGTAAGTCTCACTGCTGGTCATCCCTAACAAACTTTCAGAGGATATTACCGAGATTTTTGTTGGTGACCTCAGTCTGACCATCCGTCTGAGGGTGGTATGGATCCGTACACCTCGTGTAGGCGTCGCCAGAATGTGCTGGTAAAGCGCGGGTCACGGTCGGAGATGATGCTCTGAGGTAAGCCGTGATCTCTCACGACTCAGTCGAAGACGATGTCGACGACCTCACAAGCACTAATGCGATAGCTGCATGGGACAAAACGTGCACGCTGTGTGAAGCGATCGACGACGACCAAGATAGCATCATGACCACGCTCAGTGGGTGGGTGGAAGGGACCAATGAAATCCATCGAGATGGACTGCCAACGACCCTCAGGTATGGGTAGGGGCTGAAGTAACCCATACGGAAGGTGGTTCGCACTGTTCACCTCCTGGCAGGTAGGACACTCCTGGATGTAGGCTTTGACAAAGTCCTTGGACTTCGGCCAGACATATAGACGGCAAACACGAGCCAACGTCTTGTGGAAACCCATATGACCGGCAGCTGCCTCGGCATGGAACTCTGCTATAGCCTGGACGCGGAGCTATCCGGTGGAGGGAACACAGATACGTGGTTCTAGCTGACCAGATCTGCCATGCCAGTACACAAGGCCGTTCTCCCCGAGGGAGTAGGAAGGAACGGTCTTGCCACTCCGTAGTGTCGCGTGGATGACGCGATAATCGGGGCAGTGGTGGTACTGAGTGCAATACGTGTCGATCACCGACTGATCAACAGTGGTGATGAAGATGGCAGCAAGATGGATGGGTTCCTGATTGTGATCAGGACGGCCGGACAAGGCATCGGCGACGCGGTTCGTTTCACCCTTGATGGGCTGAGTGGTGAAACTGAACTCGGATAAGTCACGCCACCAGCGTGCCTGTCGAGGGGAGAGCTTAGGCTTCGTGAGGAAAGCCTGGATAACTGAGTTGTCCGTGCCCACCGTGAAGGGCGCCCTGTGCAGATAATGACGCCAGTGCCGGGTAGCATAAACTACTGCGAGAACCTCACGTTTATCGGCAGTGTAGTTTATCTCGGCAGGCAGTAGCTGACGGGCGTAGAAAGCGATCGGGCAATCCCCAGCACGAGCCTCGACAGTCCCATCCTCCGCGATGGTCGGGGAGTAAGTAACAGGAGGACTGTCAGTGGAGGGAAGTGGTGGGAGGGTAGGCGTCAGTCGAGAAGCAGTGTCAGCAGGAGGGGGGGGAAAAGGCGGAACATGGGGGTAAGGTGAATCTGGAGGAGAGGGAAACACCTGAGAAAGGACAGCTCCTACTGCAAAGTCTGACGCATCGGTGGTGACGATAAAGGGACGATCAAAATCGGGAAGACGAAGAGCCGGCGCACATGTTACCGCCTTCTTGAGGGCGCGAAAGGCGTCCTCGCACAGGGGTGTCCAAAACCACGACGGGTTCTTCCGGAGCAAGGTAGAGGTAAGGACGTAGGAATATCTAGCGTATCCCTGGATAAAATTACTATAGTAGCTGGTGAGGCCTAGGAAACTGCGAAGCTGCTTGACAGATGTGGGGACGGGCCACTCTGCAATAGAAGTGATCTTCGCGTCGTCCATGTGGAGACCCTGGTCAGACACATGGTGTTCTAGGAAGTCCACTTTGCGCTGGGCAAAGCGGCACTTACTGAGCTTGGCAGAGAAGCCATGCTTACGTAAGCGTTGTAGAACATCGCGGAGGTGTCTTCTAAGGTACGACTGTAGACCAGGATGTCGTCTAGGTATAAGAAAACGTATTCTTCAAGGATGTCCCTGAAGATGTCGTTCATCACCGTCTGGAAGGTGACGGGTGCATTGGTGAGGGCGAATTGCATCACCGTAAACTCGTAGTGGCCGAAGCGCGATCGGAAGGCGGTCATCGGCTGATCCTCTGTGGCAACGCGGATCTGGTGGTAACCGCTACGAAGATCGATCTTCGTGAAGAAGCGGTTGCCTGCCAGACGGTCGAACAACTCATCCGCGCGGGGCATGGGATAACTGTTCTTAACCGTGTAACGGTTAAGGCCGCGGTAGTCTATGCAGAGGCGGAGAGTTCCGTCTGGTTTGCGAGCAAAGAGGACAGGTGCACCCCAAGGGGAGTTACTCGGTTTAATGAAACCCAGTCGAAGGAGCTCCTCAAGCTGACGCTTGAGTTCCGTCGCCTCTGGGATCGAGAGTCGGTACGGTGCCTGATGGTGAACACGATAGTCAGGCACGAGCTGGATAGAATGCTCAATACCGCGCATCGGGGGAATCCCGCTGTATGAGAAATACGGGGGAAAGACGTTGCGGTACTCTCGAATCAGGTCGCGAACGGTCGACTCTAAGTCTGTCGTGAACCGTGTGAGTTCCTCAGCGTCTGCGTCGGCACAAGACGTATGTGTGGACTCAACAGTCGACGGCACAGGGGCCTGGGACGTGGAGGGGGTATCCACAGGCTGACGGGTGGACGTAGAGATGGGAGCCGCGAAGATGGAGGAAGGGTCAGGGGGATCGGGCTCCAGAGAGATGAGCTCAACCACGGGACAAAGTGGATCATAGCGAAGAAGATCCATGACGTTCACTGAGTAGAACGTGACGTCCTCCTGTCGTATGAAGTGAGCAAACTGACGAGGGGAAGTGAAGGTGATGTCGGGGTGAGACCCTCAGGGACGAGGGTCCCGGGGAGGTAGGTCGGGAGGAGTGTCGCCCGTGGTTCCAATGAAGGGGACGCGATGGGTCTGACCACACTTCGTTTTGAGAACGAGTGTCTAACGAAGTGTCTCGGTCGCCCATTTGGCCTCTGTGCTACGAAACCGGCGAGACCAGGGAGTGCCAAGGATAAAGTCGTACCCAGTCTCCAGCACATCAAAGTATGCGGAGGAATGGTAGCGCCGAGGCGCCTGGGTACTATCCAGTGGCTGAAGGGTGAGGGAGAAGTGGAGGTCGCGGACCGTCTGATCGAAGAAGCGTTGTGTCTTGTTATCTCCGAGGGTAACGGAGATAGGAGAGCGGGACCCAGAGGTAGCTAGGCGAGCTTCCTGAACCACTCGAGGGTGAACAAAATCTCCCTGCGAGCCAGAGTCCCATAAAGCACGGTACACCCTTGTAGATGTCCCTAGGCGAATAGGGATAATGGGTAGGGTGCGATCAGGGTCAGAAAGCAGAGCGAGAAGATGACGCAGGACGTTGACGTGTCTCGTGAGTCGCTCCTGATGAGCCTGCAGAATGCTAAAGTCCAGGAGAGATGACACAACGTCATCGCGAGTCGCTAACTGAGTGCTACAATGGGCTGTGCGAATGGCACGACGCGTCGGAAGTCTCGGGCGAGAAGCGCTAGATGTGGCGGTCTGCTGGGAGGCAGACGGTACCTCGACAGACGACGGGGCAGAGAGAACTGTGTCTGTCGTGTCCTGAGGGTCCTCTGGTGGGGTAGCCAAAGGGGCGAACCGCGACTCGGTGGTCGGGAAGCCGGCTACATGCGAGGCCTCAGTGGTACACTGCACCGTGGCTAGCTGGGTGGGGCTGGCCGGGCGGGGCCGGGGGGGGACTGAGATCGGCGCTGACGAGAAATGTAAGCGTAGGACCGATCGAGGGCGGTGTGGTATGGATACCGTGAGGAGGTGTGTCCATCCTGGCGGCAACGAAGGCAGCCGCGTCGGGCCTCGAGGGCGGCACGCTCCTCGGGGGATAGAGCTCCGCGAGGAGGGACAAACCCTGTGGGAGGTCTATCTGAGGAACTGTGGGTGTGCGGGCGCTGTGCAACCCGACTGTGTGCAAGACCCATGGCAGACATGGCCATCTGCAGGCGCTCGGCCATTGGGACAGTGTCGTCATCCAAGTGGTACTGGATGACGTCCCGAAGCTCGATGTCCTCGGGGGCGTCCCCAATGGTAGGGTCGAGCTCGGCTGAGGCGTCCTCTCCATACTCGAGAGAACTGTAGTGCCGAGAGAATGGCGCTCCAGGTCGAGCCGGGCGACGAAAACGACCAGCAAACGAGGAGCGGCCTCGGGTGGGTACCCCGAGACTGGGAGGTGGCGGCTGGCCGCGAAGAGGATGGGGTGACGGAGAAATGACTGCACATCCTCTGGTACTGACGCGCAGCCTCGTATGCCTGCTCCGCGGAAGAGAATGATCGCCTCCATAGCTCTAGGCGGTAGTCAGTCGGCAGGCTGACAAGAAACCGGTCGGTGAGTGTGGCCTCCGGTAGGAACGTCTCGTCACAAACAGGGCGAGCGTCCTGAAACAACCGGATGTGACGCTCCAGGTCGGCCGGTACAGAGGACCCGGACCATCTGGTATGGGTGACGCGGTCTAAGGCGTCGGTGGCGTCATGACGAGCGCCGAAGCGGCCCTGAAGGAAGGCCGCAAAGTCGGCCAGAGTGGGGACCTCACCCACTCGGAGGCGCTGGGTATAATGATCCTCCCACGCAGTGGAAGGGCTACCTCGCAATTTGGTTGCGAGCACATCGCACCACAACTCCTGAGGGGTGGTCGTCATAGAGAGTGTACGTGTTGCTATCTGCAACCAGCGAGAGACACGGGATGTGCCATCATACTCGGGAATGTCCGTGGTGCGCACACGAGGATGTCCACTATGCTGATGGCGGGGTGAGAGGGATCGAGGCGAGTGCACTGAGGCGGCGTAAGTCGAGGCCGCTGCAGTGGCAGAGGCAGGCGAAGGTTGTGGGTCGTGGCCGCTGGCGGATGGACCAGCAGACGAGGAGGCAATGGCCGCGGGCAGCTGTCCCGGAATAGCCAGGTAGGAGGGAAGAGGCTGAGGAGCAGGACGAGGGAAACGAGCCTGCATTATGGGGACCGAAGGGGTGGTAGAGGAAGAAGGGTGGGCAGCCTGTGATGGGTGAGGCTGACTCAGAACGAGAATCTCCACCTGAGCCTGCGCAATGGTGGCCTGTAAAGTGGCCACTCGCTGGGTGCGCGGGGTCGGAGGTGGAGGGGGCGAAGCGGATCTCCCAGTAGGAGGAGGAATCCCAGCCTGGGCGGTACCCTGTTGTGGGGGTGGGGGGACGAAGGCAGGAAGAAGAGGGCGGAGCCGTATTGCCGCGACCGGTGCGGGAAGCTGGGAAGCAACACCGGTGTGGGTCGATGAAACTGCTGGGCCAGAAGGCGATACCTGAACCGCAGCACCTACGACAATAGTAGAGACGGTAGGGGCGGCCGTGGCCGGAAGAACTGCCGCAATAGATGGGGTGGTCTGAGCGGAAGCAGCACTCACCACCGCTGAGGGTGAGTGCTGGGCCTGGCCCGCAGAGGAGGGGGAACCATGGTGACTCCGTCTCCGGAGTCTTGGAGAGCCGAAATCGGAGCCGGTAGGGGATGGGGTGTGGGAGCGGTGGGCAGAGCGATGAGGGGAGCCCTTGAGGCGGTTCGCGTCGAGGGCAAGGGCATTGATTTGTGCTTGCAACAGTCCAAGCGTACTGAGTTGCGCCTGGATCGCTACAAGGACGGCATGAAGGTCCATGGTGTCCACATGGGCCTGACCAGGAGCCGCTGACTGCGCGGTGACCTGGGATGTGGCTTGCGTCGCGACGATCTCCTCAGGTGTAGCGCTCTCCGTGGGCAGTGGGGGCAGAGAAGTAGACATGGTGGGAGGTGGGGGGAGATATGGGTTGTGGTATGGGGACAGAGGACCATCGGTGAGAGGGAGGGGACCGCGAGAGCGGAGTGGGTAGTCGTGGGTCGGCTCACCCCATGACCAGCGGGTCGCGCGTGAGATGGTGGCGCGAATCCGGTCGAGGGGGGAGGAGCCATTCGGGTCCAGGGTGCCCGACGGGAGGAGGTAGAGAGTAGGGGGTTTAGGGAAACCCTAAACCCTAGAAAAAACCCTAAGGAAACCCTAACCGGAGTTTAGGTGGTTAGGGGAAGGTGGCGGCGACCTAATCAAGAAAAGAAAATAATAACTATGGAGGGGAGGGAGAATAGAGTAAACAGTGGATTTACGAGATAAAAATAAAATAAAAGAATAAATAGAAATAAATAAATAAATAAATAAATAAAATGTAAAGAGTGAGAAGAGAGAGAATTTTTATTTTTTTGGAATTTTCGGCAGCATTTTCCCACCCGGCATGGGGTCAAAAATGTGCCGAGAGGAAGGAAAGTGCAAGAGGGACACGCAAATTAAAATTTTCAAAAAAATAAATGAGTAAATAAATAAATAAATAAGGAGGTGGAGGAGAGTGAAGAGAAGCTAAGTTTTGGAATTTTTCAAAAATTTCGGCAGCATTTCGTTACCCCCATGGGGTCGAAGTGTGCCGTCAAGAAAAAGACCAAGTAGAATGGAAAAATTTGGCCAGCGCTTCGCTACCCCCAAGGGGTCAAAATGTGCGCCGACAACAAAGAAAGACTAAGTCCTAACAAGATATAGAGGTGCCGGAGAAAATTTCGAATTTTTAGAAAAAAAAAATTAAAAAAAATCAGGAAATAAGAAAAAAAAAGTAGGGAATAAGATGATTCAATTTTTTTTATTTTTTATTTTTTTTTGGAGGAAAGGATAAATTTTACATCAAAGAGAAAGAGAAAAGAAGAAAACAGAAAAATTCGGAGTTGGGTGTGGGGGGGATGGAAAAATGATGAAGAAAGAGAGAAAGAAGTGAGAAGAGAAGGAAAAAGGTAAGGTGGGGGATGGGGGAGATGATGGGGTTGTAGTTGGGGGAGGGAAGGAGGAGAAGAGGGTGGTGAAATGGGAGAGAAGGGGGAGAGGAGTAGGTGAGATTAGCGAGAGATGGTGAGTGGGGAGGAGAGGAGAGAAAAAGGTTATGGAAGATGGGTGGAGAGGGAGGTAGGGGGGGAACAGATGATTAGGTGATGAGGGGGGAAGAGAAAGGGGTTGGGGGGTATTAGGTTAGTGGTAGAAGGTGATACCAGGCTCTTGGGTGGCCAAGAGCAGGGTTGTACCAAGATCCACAGGATCTTGGCCTTGAAAGTGCTGGTGGCCTGATGCCACAGCAAAACAAAAAGAGATGATGATGATCTAGGGCTGGCTGAGATCTTGATCAGCCACCCTGGTGCCACAATCACACAGCCCCCTAGCCAGGGGGGTCTTCAACAGGTGTCCATGTGGCACTCCGGATTGCCACGTCTGCAGGCAGCGACAGCCATGGCATGCGCGGGGGGGTGGGGGGGGCGGGGGCAAATAGCTTCGCCGCACGCTGTTCGCTGCTCGCCAACGGGGGAGGGGGGGGGGGGGGTAAATAGCTGGTGTGGAACTGTTCAACACGAACGGTCCGCACTATACAGCCATGGATACAGTTTGGCTAGTGTGTTATAGCACTGGCTGCGCACGCGCATGAGTGCTGCCTGCCCAGGTTCGAACCCTGGCACTGGCAGTATCCCGGATATCTTGATATAATATATATCCGGGAGCGGGGCGGGGCGGGGCAGTGCCGGCGCATGGCGCGCACGGGCCGGCCTTGGCCTTGGCGCACGCGTGCATGGTGGCGCTCTCTTTTTTCGCCACGTGTCACTGTTTTCCCGCCGCTGCCTTTTTTCCCTTTTTTTCTCGCTGCCGCACCGAAAAACGCCTGAAAATCCCGCTGTCGGGATTACACCGATCCCGCAACCGCTGTTGCATGCGGGGGGAAGGGCGGGTTGGAGCGGGGACCGTTCCCGCTCTGATACCAGTGTGCCGGATCCGCCGGGATGGCGGTCCGACAGGGTGGAGAAGAAGGGTGGACGCAGGAGGAGGTAGAGATGGAGCTGGAAGGGACAGTGCAGCTCCGACGCAGACTCCACATGCACATACTCCAAGATCTGCAAAACAGACAACTGCTGGGGTATACCCCCAACGGACTGACTGACTGGACTGGACTGGCCTGGTACCGACAGTGGTACCGGGCAGGACTAGAACAGCACACGGCCTGTGGGGTCAGGCCACGACCTGGTCCCACAGGCCGAACTGGGCAAATAGCCAAATAGGCCCTGGCTGTAGGCCAGGGCAGATGAAGGCCCGCTGCAGGCCCAACCCTCCTTGCGCTCGTGGGAGTGTGAGCAGTTCCCATGCCACCTTGGTTACAAAGCCCTCCTCCTTCTTAGCGTGTGGTTTCCAAAGGAAATGAGCCACTAATCGGCGTACTGTCATGGTGTCACCTACAACGATTCGCGAACTGCATACACGAACCAGAGAATTGAGAAAAGGCCCGCATTTGCCACCAGAGGTGGAGAGGGTGTACAGAGTAATTACCCATTTGCAGAATCCTCCACCAAAGCCCATGTGTTTCAATGTGGTCATGACGAACGTCCATCCCACTTTGTTGTACGCCTTCTCCAAATCAATCAGCAACATCGTGGTGTCCAAATTCTCAGATTGTACCACTTCCAGGACCTCGATGGCAGTTGCGATGTTGTTGAAGATGGAATGCCCTTGGACAAAGGCGCCTTGGTCCTTCTCCACCAAACCAGGTAGGTACCGCCCTAATCTCCTTGCTAATGTCTTGGCCAAGATTTTGTACGAGACATTGAGTAAGGAGATCGGACGCTAATTCCTCACTTCCGCCTTGTCACCTTTCTTGAAGAGTACCGAGATTACCCCGTGTGTCATCTTCTTTCCCAATCGGCCTCCCACCAGCACCTCATTGTAAAGTTCCACCAGTGGTGGCCCTATCGCACCCTAACACTTGGAGTAAAATTTCGCCGTCAAGCCATCGACACCCGGCGCCTTGCCTTTCGCCATGGACTTCAGTGTCTGGGTGGTCTCCTTGAAGGTGAGAGGTCTATCCAGATCCAGCTTTGCTGAAAGTGGTAATCTTCCCTTAGTGTCCTCCCACAGGCTCGAAACCCTCGTCAGGTCCATATGTACATTGTCTTGTGGCCGGCGAGTGGTGAGAATATCTTCGTAATACAGTCTAGCATAGTCTAGCATCCCTGCCGCCGTGGAGGCCGTAGGAGCTGCTTCCTCGAAGGGGTGCCTGAGTTCCACCATATGCTGCATTGACCGCCTAGCGAGAAGCTTTTGAAACGTTTCTTTATTCATCTTGTCGTTGACTTCGATGCCTTTCTCCTGCAACAAGTCTGACCACCTTCGTTCTTTCTCTAATTGTAGGTCTTCCCATTCTGCCATCCTCTTCCTTCGCTCTGCAGCCCACACCAGTGCCGAAATTGGATGTCCCTCTATCCTTTCTTTCGCTTCTTCCACTCTTTGTCTTTGCTAGAATCCTTGAGCACACACCAAGCATGCTAGACACGATAGTGATACCCCCGTCCAACCAATCCTCCGCAGAATGGAAGAGGTCTTTGGCTCCTTCCCAGTTCCTCATCTATTGTTCTATCCACCCCACCAGATCAGGGTCTTCAGGTTATGGGAGTTGAGCCTAAAAAAAACTTTTCCCCGTTATGAACTTACTCTTAACTTAATGTATGTGATCACCGGTTTGTGATCCGACAAGGGGTTGCAGATCTGCTGTACTGCAGTGATTCCACCCAGGACTGATTCTATAACCAAGTAGTAGTCTAGCCTTCGCCTGGTCACTGACCCCCTTCGACGCTGCACGTGGGACATCTAGGTGTAGCTTGAGTCCTCCGGATTCAGGATCCTAAAGGGGTCTGCCAGCTCGAGCTCTGATGCCAACTCAAAAGGGTTTGTACGTCCTTGCAATTACTGAGTCCGGTTTCAACGCGTCATCCAAGGACAAGTTCCAATCCCCCGCTATAATCAGATTGTCTATCTTTGGGATGTGGGAAATCAGACTAGCGAAAAATCTAGCTCGCTCCCCTGCCCCCGTAGGCGCATAGATCGTCATGAATGCCCACTCCTCTCCCCCTGATTCCAATCTGATCCAAGCCCATCTACCCCAGATGTCAATTTCCGAGTCAATCACCTTCATCTGAAGACCTCTATGTATCAGTATGCCCACGCCCCCTCTGGTACCTTGCGCGGGGGCCCGAACCTGAGGGGCATCCCACCAGTTACCCAACTCGAGCAGCTTCCCTTCGTCCAACTTGGATTCTTGTATGAGTAGACAGTTTATCCTTCGTTCATGTACCCAACTTTTAACCCTTCTCAAGCCCTGAAGATTCCAAGAAGCCATCTTGAGTCTATCCATCGGTTTGCTGTGTGGCCGCTTGCTGTTGGATGCGGTTGAATTCGACTTGATAAACTTGCTGGTTGTCTGGGTTTGCAGACCTTTCTGGCGTCGTTGCCTGTGGCATGGAGCGGGACTGTATGCTGCCTCTTGAACTGCCTCGTGAGGAAGGCGCCTGTGATCTAGTGGGCCAGTCCTTTGTTAGCATGGAGTACATGAAGTTCGATTGCAGGCCTTCCTCCGCTGGCAGCTTCTTGCAAAGGTTGAGCAGGATCAATGTGCTAATTTCGTGTTCTCTTACTGCATCCATATCATACCAACGAACCCCGGACTGTGTCGGCCGATTCCGGGGAATCCGTGCATCCAATAAAGGGAAGTAGAACTTGTAGTACCCTTGGGAGGTCTCGCAGATAATATTTATCATTGATGCCTTGGGAATTACCCTGATTGGGATGTGTTCCCCGTACAGGCTTCTTGTTTTCTGCAGAATCATGTTGTGGGTCGGAGCTCTCTCCACCTCCTCCAAAGGAATGTATGGTCTCCCATCAGCATTCGCTAGCGCTAGGAAGTAAGTGTCGTCTCTTGCTTGAGTACACACCAGCGGGACGATTCTCCGTCTAACTGTTTCTGCTTGGTCCCTGTGTATCAGGTTTGTCCTTCTGTTGCGGTCGACGTGTAGTCTCGGGACTTCTCCCCTCTCTTCCTTCTGCTGCAGCCTGGAGTGTGCCGAGCTCCCCATTGAGGAGGAGGAGGAGTGTTCCCTGCTCGGTGGCACCTCTTCTAACCCGCTCCCCATACGGACCCGGGACTGGGATGAGATGGATGTTGTTGACAGTTCTCCCTGAGTGTCAACCACCTGCGCCGCTGCTGGATGTTCGTTCATCATGTATCCTCCATCACACCCATCTCCCCACCTTCTCGCAGCTCTATCTTGATTGCACAGTTTGTCCTCCTCGAAACTGGTGATTTCCTGCCTCCTCCTCCGCCCATGTTCGCCAGGCCTGTCCATTTCTCCTCCTCTGTATCAATTAGCCCCTGTTGACGATTGCCGCCCATTGAGAAGCCTGCCTCCACCATCGCGTTCTGTCCCGATTGTTCAAGCATGCCTGCTCCTTGCTGCAGTTGCTGTTGGGTTAACACCCTCCAATCGTATGAACTGGATGGGTATCGAGGCTTTGGATGATCCGGGAAGGCATTGTACGCTTGAAGCTGTAGCTCATGATGGTTGTTCATTGGCGGGCCGGAGTTGACCCATTGGTCATGCCCTGGATAGCCTTGTGCGTACTCCAATTGACCACTGTGCCCTGCTGGTTGTGCGTGTAAGCCATTGTAGCCACCATAAAACTCTCGTCCTGTATCGTGCAGTCTCCAGCCCAGCTCCCTCTCGTCCCTTGGAGGCACGGAGTTCTCCGGGATCGAGGGCACCGACCAAGCTCTCCGCTGACCCCATGGGGGCATGAGAGATGGGGATGGATATTGCATCCCTCCTCGGGGGTGAGAGAGGAGGACAGGGCCAGTCCTGGTGACTGGGCTCTCTGAATGCCCGCTCTCGTGCCTCTTGCCTTCTGTCCACCTGTGCGGGGGCTGAGAGAGCGCCCGGATGGCTCGAGATCTGGCTTGGATGGCTATAGGTACGCCTTGCAGGGGCGGACTGCTGTGCTCCCTGACCTTCACTCCTGATAGGCCCCTCTCCTCCTTTGCCCCTGACTCCCCGTCATGTCTGTGACTCCGTATATTGCCTGATCCCGCCTCTCGCCTTGTTTGTTGGACCCTGTTCAAGTTGTGCTGAAGAAAACGTTCCTTGTGTCCTCACGCCCGTGCGCCTCCTTCTCTTCTCCCTTCGTCATTCTGTTGTGATCTTGGACAATTTTCCTCTGTGTGGAAATACCACTTGCATCTCCTGCACCAGTCCGTGTATGGAGTAGCTATTTCCACTCTCCATCTTTCACCTTTAGGGGACTGGATCACCAGAACATAGTCAATGTTGAGTCTTGCGTTTGGGTGCATGTCTATCTTGACGTTCATCAACTTTGGGCGCGTTCTGTCATTTTCGGGGGGATGCATCTCTAGCACTTCCCTGAACATACCTCTGACTGCTTCGCCTAGGTAGTAGTACGCGTCTAACTGTACTCTCAAGGCGACAATCCAAAAGTTCTTCTCCGCTTCTTGCAGCTTCGTGTCCCGGAGCTCCTGACGGGGCATCCAAGGCTTGAAGATCGTTCGATACTCCTTAGTTCCCAACTTTAGCTTCGCTTCCTTTGTTCTCAGCATCCATTCGGCTACCTCCTGCTGCGACATCCACCCATCCTCGTACGCCCTTATCAGATCCTCCTTGACCTGTCTTGAGAGGTTTCTTGCTTCCTCTTGAAAGATCAGGATTACTGTTCTTTCTTTTAGCCAATTCTCCTTCATACTATCCACTGTCTCATACACTACGAACCTCCTCCCCTCCTCGTCCTCTACCACCTCCCCCAATTCCAATCCTTTCGGGCAGATGCCTTCATCATAGCATCTACCAACCGACTCCCGAACCCGATCCTCCGACCCTTGTTGTTGCCTTGATTGGACTGGTGGCGTCGGCCTTCCTGATACTTTCGAGGCTGCACCTCTCTCAGTTCCTCCTTGCTTCTGTCCTGATGTTCGAAGACTTGGCGGAATGTACCTGCAGCTACTGAATGGATTCCCTGGTCCCGTACCCCTCTCCATCTTCCTGGTGCCTTCGGCTTCTGTTGTGGACCTTGAGTTTCACCGCGTTCCTTGACTTCTGCGTTGCCCTGCTGAACCGTGTCTCCCTGTTCCCTACTTGTGAGGTTGTCCGTGTGTACTTGCCCTAGTTGAGGAAAGAGCATGACCGAGTGTCCGTATAGGCTTGGAGTCCTGTGGTGATGCATCACCTGTAACTCCGGACCCCTGCGTTAAAAGTGGCGAAGAACGACAATTGAGGCCGTTCCTTTGTTATAGGGAGGGAAGCGAGTATTCCGACCGGATTTGTAACCGGGAACGCTTGTGTATCCCACCTCTACAGTGTATCAGAAACGTCTGGCAAGTACCGATCTTAGGGTTGCCGACTTTCTTGTTTCGCTACTCTTAATCCTTGCGTGCGCCTTCTGCCTGAACGGACGGCAAGATGTAATGGAAGGCAGAAGGAGAGAGCGTCTTCCGAATCGACCGCTGGGCAGGAAGATTGATTAAAATGCAAATTGACATCTTTGGGCTCTTGTGGATAAACACCGAGTCTTGAAGTTGAAATTGGAGTTGAACTTGGAATCCGTTGCTCGAAGACTTCAACGAAAGTAGCCCCGCTTCTGATCCCGTCGTGAAGGTAGCGTCGATCTTTTGCCTCCGTGTTCCAAGGACGCGTTAGTGACGAATTGTAACGCCCATGCTGTCTAGGGGAGGGATGACAAAGATGATGCTCTATGAGATCCCTAATACTAAGACAAGATCGGGTCTGGTACGGGCGAACGTGATGTCTTCGACGCTAATTAGGCGCGGGACCGGAGTCTAGATGCCGATTCTCACTCGCTATTCCACAGTCGCATCGCCTAATTTCGTTCTGTATTGAGGAACAATGTCGACCGAGGAACGAATCAGGTTGATCGCCCCTCATTTCCGAACCTCTTGTTTGATATAGCGGAGGGAAATTGAGGACTGACAGCCCGCACCTATCATGATGACAGCGATGTCTTGGACAGGCAACCACTACAAATGATGGCCGCTTCTCGGTGACTAAAAACGCATGAGATTAGATAGTCGTGACCGTAATTGCGTGGCTATAATTTGAGCCTTTTCATGTGGGTTAACCGAGCGGAGCAAGTCTAGAGTGCGGGCTATAATCCAGTATCGGAAACTCTAGGTCGTGTGTGGTAACTTCATGTTTTACCTTGGCGTCAACCCTATTACCACACCTTGTAGGTTGGACAATCGTTCACCAATCCCAAAGTTTGTTGGTTATACTCGTACACCTTTGCGCTATACCAACTGACTTTCGGCTATGGAGAGCACCTACCCTACTTTCGCTATGGATTGTTTGAGAAGGAACCGTGCTTCGAGGCATAGCCTCCACCCACAGCGATGGGCGTGCACTTCCTTCATCACGTTCCTCGTCACGGCGGCGAGGCTCGTGGGTAAACAGTGCTACGTGCGGTGAAACGCGTAGCGGCGCTGTTACCGAAGCGCTACCACCATCCGCCCGGTACCAGCGCTCCACCTCTAGCGAAGTATTCTACGATGTGTGACCGGGGGAGGGAGGGAGGGGGGGTGGATTTTGGTGTGTGACAAAAAAAATAAAAATAAAAATAAAATGATTGATTGATGTTTCTTTTGATTGATTGATTGATTGATTGATTGATTGATTGATTGGTTGATTACTGATTGGTTGATTGATTGATTGGTTGGTTGATTGATTGATTGATTGATTGGTGGGGTAGGGGTCCTCCCTCCCCTCCCCCCCCCACACGCGCGCGCACACACACACACACACACACACACACAC